CATTGGGGCATATCTGTTCTGTTGGACACAATAATCACAATCTGGCAAATAAAATGGCAGATAATCCCAGTGAGATGGAGAAGGAAATCTTAGTGCCTTGCTTAGAACTAAGTGAATGTGGACTACAGCTCCCCCCCCCCAGTCTCTTTTCTGATGATATAATTGGGAGAATACATATTACTAGAATTCTCCAACAATAGGGTACTATTTAAGGTAACCCTAAGCCTATCTTCTCAGAAGTAGTTTTTAGTTATTTTTAAATGAATTATTTTAATACTGTTAGCCCCAACTAATAGGCTAAATGGGGAAGGTAGGTATAAGGGCCACATTTATTGCTTCCTTCAGCAAATTGAATATGTTAGATGGAACAGGGTCCACCATGTGTAATGGCATGCGGGAATGATCTTGGGAGACAGGAGGAAGAGCCACAAACTAGACTACCATCATGGAAATGAGAGCTCAGATAATAGAAAGGGGAGTGTGGGAAGCATTTCAGAAAAAGACCCTCCCATGATTTCTAGAGAGGAGATAAATACTTTCAATCTGATAAGATTATGACAACATAGCCTTACAATCAAAGTAGATATAGTCCTAATAGCTGTGTTTCTTGTATGGAACTGAAGAAGTTTCTTGGATAAGAAGCAAAACATTTTCAAAAGAAAATGTTGCCTTTTGGAAAAAGTGCCTTTGGGATAACCATGGCCTAGATCCGTGGTGGTGAACCTATGGCATGTGTGCTAGAAGTGTCACACAGAGCCATTACTGCCGGCATGTGAGCACTCAACCAGAAAAGGTCTACTGTGCATGTGCGCGCATCACCTGCCTTCTGGGTGATGGCACATGAACATGAGCAGGCAAGCGCATGCACAATTATTAGCACGGGAGCCCAAAAAGGTTAGCCACCACTGGCCTAGATTATTGAGAATATCCATAGACATTCTTGCTTGGATTAGCTCAAAGGGCTAATACCATGCTATTCATGGGTGATATTTTTCCAAATACATTCCAAGTGGTCTGAAATTCACCCAGCAGTTTGGGTATAGTTCTCAATAAATAAAATGTCAAAGAAAATGGTTTTCAGAGAAATTTTTGGTCAGGACTATTCTTTTCAAGGAACCCAGATGAAATATGAAAGGGATAGAGAAACAATGTGAGAATTTGTTCCAGTAATGAATCAAATATATAAGGAGAATGAAATTAAAATCAGGGTATTTCCCATTGTTTTTAGTTCTGATAGGATTAAATCTATGACATTTTCATGATCTGTTGTTGATTTATTTTTTTGCAGAGATGTAGCAGCACACTTTCAGGGCAGCAGCATGCCGTGAATTATGGTCAGAATCCTTTGCCTATATATATGATCCTCAATACCAGGGACAAATATAGCCTTCAAGAATTTAAAGGTAACATTACCAACGTTGATTAGGACTCAACAATCATGGGTCTTATTGGTCTGCCAGGAAAGGCAAATATTTATTTCATTTTAATGTGTACCACAGTGGTGATGTTATTGGTCTAGAGCCAATGAAGGAGTCTCAATGCCATGTTATATATTATTCTCTAAAATGAATGGTGAGAATTCTACCCAGGGGTGGGATTCAATTTTTTTTTACTACCGGTTCTGTGGGTGTGGCAGGGAAAGGATACTGTAAAATCTCCAGTCAGAAGTGGTATTTGCCAGTTCTCCCAACTACTCAAAATTTCCACTACCAGTTCTCCAGAACTGGTCAGAACCTGCTGAATACCACCTCTGGTTCTACCCTGTTCCCTACCTCTTCTTCTTCTTTCCCTCTTATGAGGTCTTCTGAAGAAATGAAGACACAATGCATTACTGTAGCTTTGTCTTGCAAAGCCCAAAAAGCCAGATATTTCTTTATCACTGCCTGTTAAATTGGGGGAAGGGAAGAATAAAAAGTGGAGTCAGAAAATGAGCGGGGAAAGACAGATATGTAAGAAGATCTGTGTAATGAGAAAAAATATGGAAAGACCACTCAAGTATCTATCTTTTCTTTTTTTAGTCCTTGGAGGGGAGCTTTTCAGCCATAACATGGTGTGCACACTTTCTCAGAACATAGGATATTTTGAATATGTTGATTATTTTTCTCACTTCCTTTCAGCCACTTGTTCTTGGATAAAGTAAGGGAAATAATGGATTTTTTGATTTTGGACAATTTCTACTAGATGCTTATTTAGAATATCTTAAGTAATTGAGTTGGACAATAAGGCTTTGAGGTTTTGGCAATTAAGAGAGAAACTGTGGTGTGCATGAACCAGCAGCAGAAAGAAATGATTAATTTTAATAATTGTTCTGTCTAAGTGTTCAGTTATTCAGTTCTGTGTAAGTGTTCAGTTATTGCAATGATAATGAACAACAGAACTATCTGACACCAAAAAGAAGACTTTGGAGAGCATCTGCAAATATAAATCCCAACAGGAAAACAGGCAACATTAATTCAAGAGCCAACATAAATACCATAGACTGTCATGTAAACTAATAGATAGGACTGCCACCTTCATTCTCTGGAGATTTTCAGTTACTGATGACCTGATGGACTAGAGGGGAACAAAAAAAACAATGTAAAAGATTTTTAAAAAAGGCAGCCATAAAAGAGATACTGGGCCCTTAATCATTACCTAGTCTTTGCAGTGCTATTCAACATTTTATTTTTCCCCATATACTTAGCTTGGTGGAAATGCAGCCCAAAAAAGTATTTTAAAAAGTATTAAATTTAAAGGCTAATTTAGTTACATTCAATCATTGCAAAATCATATTTTGCAAAACCAGTGTTTCATTTGAACCTGTAACTGATATGATTTTGTTGTAGAGTGGATGGAATTTACTCCTTTTGAGGTTGGATTATTAAAATACGGTGCTTACATTCGTGCTGAAGACTATGGAAGCAAATTCTTTATGGGTCGGATAATGAAGAAGATCCCAGAATCTCACATCTGCTTCCTGAAAGGTGCATTCAAGATCTTTACCTGTGTTTTTTAAATATACAACCTTCTGAAAAATAGTTTTCCCAAGGCAGTTTACAACTTTCTAAAATAACATTTTGACTAATTAAATATTAAAAATTATTAGTGTTGCTAAATCACTGATACAGATTCCATGAAACAATGCCATTTCTTTTCCAAAATTCTGGTTCCACTTGTCTGAAAGTTGCCAAAAACAAGGTTGAAAAGAAAAATCAACAAGGTTGATTGTTTTAGGTTGTAATCTAAAGCAACCTAAAGAACATTGGATATTTCAAAGAAGCCACAGAAGAAAATCATGGAACATTTTGAGGAGGCACAAAAAAGCAAATATCTATAATGCTCATTCATTCATTCATTCATTCATTCATTCATTCATTCATTCATTCAATTTTGATAGCTGCCCATCTCTTGACAGCTTACAATTAGTACAGACACTGTCTTTTTTATGCCAGAAAACATATTAGTTACTATTCCACATCCATATCCATGAATGGGGCCTGGACAGGTAGAACACCGAAGGAAAACAAGATTAGAAGGGGGCCACAAGCAAGAGAAGGTTGAGGAACACTGCTCCAAAGCATTTTCAGTTTCTTCCAATGTTGTACCATAAATTCGACAAGTTGGCACTGTCACCTGTGATTGTGAACCACAACAGATCATACTCAACAGTACAATAGCACCCTGCTTAAGGCAAATTCTATATGGTGCATTCCTTTAGTTCTTTTAATATGCTTCTACGGAGAAAACATAAATGAACAGAAAATATATTCTTTTCCCTTGAATTTGCTAGTTTCAACAATGATAAAGATAAGTAAAGACTGCCTCCTTGTGGCAGTAGGCTAGAATCTAAATTAGTCACAGGGCTGATTCACATTTGCACCACCTCAAATATGAGTGAGCCACTGATTATTACTATGGAAGGAGCACCCTGTATTATCCTTTGCTTTTACACGGCCCATGATTTTTTTCATTTGTGGCAGCTTATGCTGTGTTGTCCTGTCCACAATGCTTCACTTCAGCACCTCCACTCCAGTTGGTTATTGTACTCCAGAATAGCTCCTCTTATCTGGACTTTCCTTTATGGCCATTTTTTTTTTTTTTTTTTACAAATTCAGCAGCAAACAGTAAAAGCTGGACTTTCTTTTTCATCCTCTTCCCCCTGCCAGGTTCATTGATGGATCTGTGAAAGTGCACTTTTTAAAATTCACCTCAGTTTCAGGTGAAATTGACAAGAATTCTGCTACTTTCCCATTCTATCCTAAGTAGTAGGAAAAATGGTAAAACTGAAATTTCTCCCCTCCCCCTTTATTAGTTCAGATGAAGTGATGAAGCAGGAGAATCCTCTAATCAGGGATTCTGGTAAATTATGCTCTGGACAGTAAATTATGCTCTGGACCAGGCTAGCACTGTGACCAAAATGAAGGAGGAGGTTTGAAACCAGAAAGGGATTTCTTAAGCCAACTTCGTTTTGGCTGATCTAGGAAGAACAAATAAAAGACAAAAGAAGACCAATAAACATGACTAGGAAGGAGACTGGAGTTTAAAACCTATGAAGAACTGTTGCAGAAATTGGGTATGTCTAGTGTTAAATACTGAGCATGGGCGCAAGGAACGGAGACGAGGCGGAGAACTAGTGAACTTCAACTCTTTATTAATGGATAAGAACAGAGCAAAAACCCTGGGCAGCAGCAGCTCTTTTATAGAGCTGGCTGCTGACCCATTAACCAATGATTTGCGTTCCAACGTTTAAATTGTACCCAATGAGAGATGTTCAACTAATAGCCAATCAGGCTGCTCCGTGAGGACCAATCCCTGCTCGCTATTCATGGGCCAATCAAAGGTGCAGGATTACGAGCCTGCTTTTCTCGTAAGGTTGACAAGTTTTTATTAAATAGTTTTTATTAGTTCATAACACCCCTCCCCCCTAGGTTCCGTTTGAGGGGTGCGGTAACATAGTCGCGTAGATATGCAGGTCGTTTTACCTGCCTGTTTGATTTTCGCTGCTCCACCGGTTTTTGTCTGCAGTCCGGTTCTGGTGAAGTGCTTTCAAGGTTTTCTGGTACGGCTAGTTCCGTTTCTGTGCGGGAGGACTCGGCGCGGCTATCGTTGTTGTTATCCCAGTCTCCTAGGCTTATTTCCGGGTCCCGTGGGCTTGCCTCCCTTGTGTTATTTCCCCGCGGCGATGCCACCCCGCTTCCTGATTCTTCTTCAGGTTGCGCGTTTTTTTGGTTGGGTTGCTGGGTCCCCTTGATTACGTCGTCATCTATTTCTATTTCAGCCCCCTCGATATCCCCTCCCCCCTTAGTTTGCGAATTAGGGGAGTCGCGGGAAATGGGTGGCAATCTGGATCGAAGCTGATCTATATGGCGTTTCCATGCTCTCCCGTCATTAGTCTGTAGGCGGTAGGATCTGGGACCGGTGGGTTGGGTAATGGTTGCAGGGACCCATAATGGCTCGCCAGAAAAGTTTTTAGCAAACACCAAGTCGCCTACCTTGAATTCGTGGCACTTCCCGCTAGATCCGAAAGGTTTTTCTGGTGAATAAGAAGGATGTAGACGGTCGAGGTGGGAGCGAAGTCTCCGCCCCATTAGCAGTTCGGCAGGCGTCTTATTCGTGATGCTGTGTGGGGTGATGTGTTGAAGCAGGAGTATTCGGTTGAGCTTGTCGTCGATGTCCCCACAGTCCATTTTATGTAGGTTTTTTTTGACGAATTGTACCATTCGCTCCGCCCTTCCATTGGCCGCAGGATGCACTGGCGAGGTTAGCGCATGGCGGATGCCCCGGTCCGCTAGGTACTGTTCAAATGCCAGGGCAGTGAACTCGGGCTCATTATCAGAAACTAAAACGTCTGGTAACCCATGCGTTGCGAATAATTTATTCAGTTTGTTAATGACTGACTCCGTTGTGGTTGTCTTCATCTTCTGGATTTCTAGCCAGTTTGAATAGGCATCAAATGTTAATAAAAACGTGTGTCCTTTGGTGGGTCCCTCAAAATCAACGTGGATGCGGGACCACGGACCCCGAGGGGTTTCCCACTCGGTTGGCGTCACTTTAGGTGGGGCGTTGCTAACGTCTTGGCACTTTCGGCACGTGGTTACCCAGGCTGCGATCTGCTTATCGATGCCCGGCCACCACGCGTAGCTTCGTGGGAGTGCCTTCATGCGCACGATGCCGGATGTCCATCGTGCAATACTTTTAGAACAGTTTGTTGTAGCCTCTCTGGGACGACGACTCTATCCCCCCAGAGAACGCAGCCTCTCTGGGAGAAAAGTTCTGTCTGCCGATTCTTGAATGGCGCGAAATCGTCGTGGAGTTGGTCGGCTGGCCATCCTCGTTCGACCCAGCTGAGAACTCGTGCCAGGACAGGATCCCGTTTTGTCTCGATGGCGATGTCTCTCGCTGTTAGTGGTGGCGAGTGCAGCGTTTCGATTTGGAGCGTCGTGAGGGTTGGACCTGGGTCGTTGACGGTTTCCGGAAATGGGGAACGGCTTAAAGCGTCAGCGTGGGGAATGGCTTTCCCCAGGCGATGTTGCAACAGATAATTGTAGGCCGCTAGGAACTCAGACCAACGAGTCATTCTTGGCGATAAAATATAGGGGGTTGGCTTGTCTCCCGCTATAATACCAAGCAATGGTTTGTGATCCGTGATTATCGTAAATGCTCGTCCATACACGTATTCGTGAAAGCGCTTCACAGCAGATACAACAGCAAGGGCCTCTTTATCGAGTTGGCTATAGTTCCTTTCAGCCCTTGATAATGTTCGTGAGAAAAACGCAATAGGTGCTTCATTTCCGTTTGGTAGTACATGGCTTAAGATTGCTCCCACTCCAAACGGTGAAGCGTCGCATGTAATAGTTAAGGGTAAAGTCTCGTTGTACTGCATCAATACAGCGTCGGAGGTTAGTAAGTCTTTCACTTGTTGGAAGGCGCGTTCCTCTCGATGTCCCCAGACCCAGGTTGCTTTTTTATCGAGAAGTCTGTGTAGGGGCTCCGCTACAGTCGCCTTTTGGGGCAAGAAAATGTTGTAGAAGTAAATGAGCCCCAGGAAGGCTTGGAGGTCTGTTCTATTTTTAGGTGTTGGGGCGTTTTTAATTGCTTTTAGCTTGTTATCAGTGGGATGGATTCCTTGACTATCGAGAAGGTATCCAAGGAACTCCACCCTTTCAGTACACAGTTGACATTTATTTTTTTTAACCTTCAGGCCGGCATCTTTAAATTTCCGTAGAACCATTCTGAGACGCTTTTCTAAGATGTCTCTATTAGGGGCGGCGATTAAAACATCATCAAAATATGGCACGACCCCTTTTATGCCTTGTAAAAGTCTCTCCATCAAACTTTGAAAAATTCCCGGAGCTACGCTCACTCCGAATTGGAGTCTATTGCACTTAAAAGCACCTCTATGCGTAACGATAGTTTGTGCTTCCGCAGTTTCCGCATCTACGGGCAACTGTTGGTACGCTTGTGCTAAATCCAATTTAGCGAATATCTTCCCGCCACCCAGGGAGTGGAGAAGGTGTTGAACCACCGGCACTGGGTAAGCACTCTGCTGAAGTGCATGGTTCAAGGTGGCCCGATAATCCCCACAAATTCTTAACAATCCATCTGGTTTAATGGGTGTTACAATTGGGGTTTCCCAACGGGCATGGTCGGTTGGTTCTAAAACACCCTGGGCTATTAATTTATTGAGCTGCTCATCAATCTTTGGTTTTAGTGCAAAAGGCACCCGACGAGGCTTAAGGCGGATGGGAGCTACTTCAGGATTAAGGTTAAACGATATTGGGGTCCCCTTGTACTTGCCTAGCTCTTCTGAGAAAACGTCCTGGAATTCTTGGACGAGAGACTCCTCCCAGTCGTTGCTCTCGGCTTGGTGGACGCCGGATACCTTGATCCCGAGCGGGGCGAACCATTGTAGGCCTAATAAACTAGGCCGGTCACGGTCGACAACGGTCAGCAGTAGAGATGCGATACAATTTTTGAAGGAGACTTGGACTTGGCTGGAACCGACGACCGGGATTCTGTTGCCCTGGTAATCCTTGAGTATGATCCTTTGGGGGCTGAGGTCCTGACGCCGGATGGCCGGGATTAGTTGTTTGAGGGTCTTCCAGGAAATCATCAAGAGAGACGACCTCGAGTCGACTTCCATCACGCAAGGTTGGTTCTCAATGGCGACCTTCACTCGGATCTTTCTTGCATCTAAGGATGTAGCGTGGCCGATGGTAATGGTTTGGTGTGCCTCTTCTTGTCTCGTTGGAGTGGCAGGTGCTTTGTTTCTGTAGGAGTGGTAGTTCCATTGGTGGTTCTGGCGATTTCAATTCGCAGGAGGATATCCTGAAGACTGGCTGCAGTTATTCTCCCTGCGCTTTGGGCTGGATCTTCGCTTGCTTCTACAGACCTTTGCGATGTGGCCTCTTTTTCCACAGGAACGGCAGAGCGCGTCGAGGAATTTGCAATCGGATCATGAGTGGTTTGCCCCACAACCCGTGCATTGTCGCGGGAGTCGTTGGTTTTGTTGGTCTCGTTCAGACCAGAGTCGGTTGACCTCTTCCTTGTCACTTTCTGATGGGGATTCCAGGCCCTCATGGTGCGCCGTTGTTGAGTGCCTCTCGGGGCGAGGCGAGGTATCATTCGCGAGTTGACGGAGCGGTGCATTGGTGCGGCGCATTCGAGCGGCCGACTTCCTGGTTGCTTCTGCTGCGGTAGCGTCTGCAATGGCATCGGCAAGATCGATGTCCCCTTTGGCCATGATCTTGCTTTGCACCATCTGGTCATCTAATCCCAGAACTATGTGGTCTCGCAAGGCTTCTTCGAGGTTGGAAAACCCACAGAGGCCACCCAAGTTCTGGAGGTCAGCGATGAAGTCTGCAAGACTTTCGCTTTTCCGCTGGTCCCTGTGGTAAAACTCGTGCCTAGGGACAAGTGTTGGCACTGCGGGTGCATAGTGGGCCCGTAGAAGGGGCGCGAGGGTGTCCCAGTCCATCGTTTTCACCTCAGCCAGTTTTGCAAGTGATTTCGCCATCTTAAATACGGCAGGCCCACAATGGGTCAGGAATATTGCTCGCTTCTTGCCGGTCGTAGCGTCCTTTAAGTTATTGGTCTCCAGAAACATCTGGAACCGATCCATATACGAGTCCCAGTCTTCGTTTGCCAGGTCAAATGGAGCAGGTGGTATAGCACCGCTGGCCATATTGCCGTTGTTGGTGCGCCTTCAGCCACGTGCTCTGTTTGGCGCTCTGTAGTGTTCAGTCAGCTCTGTTGTCTCCGCATCCCACCTTCGTCGTCAGTATTAAATACTGAGCATGGGCGCAAGGAACGGAGATGAGGCAGAGAACTAGTGAACTTCAACTCTTTATTAATGGATAAGAACAGAGCAAAAACCCTGGGCAGCAGCAGCTCTTTTATAGAGCTGGCTGCTGACCCGTTAACCAATGATTTGCGTTCCAACGTTTAAATTGTACCCAATGAGAGATGTTCAACTAATAGCCAATCAGGCTGCTCCGTGAGGACCAATCCCTGCTCGCTATTCATGGGCCAATCAAAGGTGCAGGATTACGAGCCTGCTTTTCTCGTAAGGTTGACAAGTTTTTATTAAATAGTTTTTATTAGTTCATAACATCTAGTGTAATGAAAAGAAAAACTAGGAGTGACATGATAGCAGTGTTCCCATTTCTAAAGAGGTGCTACAAAGAAGAGAGGGGTCAAACTATTCTCCAAAGCACCTGAAGGTAGAACAAGAAACAATGGGTGGAAATTTATCAAGGAGAGAACTAAACTAGAACTAAGGAGAAATTTCCTGACAGAACAATTAATCAGTGGAACGGCTTGCCTCCAAAAGTTGTGGATGCTCCAACACTGGAGGTTTGCCTGAAATGATATAGGGCACGGGTGTCAAACTCGATCATGTCACATGACGTCACGTGACGTATCACAATGTTTTTTGCCTTTGCGGAACTGTGATGGATGTCACCTGTGTGTGATGCATCTGGCCTGCGGGCTGCCAGTTTGACACCCCTGTACTTCCCTGCTTGAGCAATTGGACTAAGAAGACATCCAAGGTCCCTCCAATTCTGTTACTCAGTTATACCAGAGAGCTAAAGGCTGCATTGTGGAAAAGCCTACTCCATCATACTTTCAGTCAGAGGCCATTTTATTCAGCATGAAAATAACCAAAAGAACATTAATACAGTGGGATTTTCTGAAGATTTAAAAATTGACTTAAAGGACCAACAGTACTGAAGATTCATGTAGAGTAACATATTTCTTCTGTTGCTCTGATTATTAATATGGCTTATGCTGCTCTGGGCAGTTCAACAATATTTAGCATGATCAGTACTTTAATTAGTATACATGTTCTTGGGTACTTTCAATTCAGAGAATCAGGTTGATGCCATGGTTAAGACACCAGGCTAGTCTCTGAGTTCTAGTTCTGATTTAAACATAAAGCCAACTGGGTAATATGAAGTCAGCTATTCTCTCTCTCATAATCCCTAAGAAAGAGGCAATGGCTCTTGCCAAGAAAACTGTAGGGAGTTCTCCAAGAGATTTGCCAGGAGCCAGTAATGACTCGAAGGCACAACATTTTTAGTTAATTACTGAAATGAACTGAATGAATGACCAGGCTGTTCTTCAAAACTACCAAGAGAAAAAGGCTGAGACATTTTTATTGGCTTCCAAATTTCTTGATAATATTCTTTAATTCCTTTTAAATCAGAACAACATATTGCTAATGTCCAATGAAGGTTACATTCTATTTTATGGAAGTTTATGCTTTAATTGATATGAATATCTTTGAGATGCCACAAACCTCCCATTTTGGCTTCTTTTCTGCTTTGTATAAGTACTAATTTAGCTCCAATTTTTCAAAGAAATATGCAGTGAACTGATGCTGGGACTTTTCCTCCACAAAGTCTATATTTTATTGTTGAACAATTTCCCATCCAATTTTTTAAAAAGGTATGTATAGTTTTTATGTTTTAAATAATGTATTTGTACACTGTCCAGAATCTTTCTGTGAGGAAAATGGGCAGTTTCTAAATTTGATAAATAAATAAAAGTATATAAAACTTGTTATTCAGCAATCCATATTGTTTCAGAGACTTCCAACAGCTGAAGTTTAAATTGTTAAAAATCATTCAAAATGGACCCTCTGGGGGACCAGCCTGGGCCAAGTTCCTGTGGAAGTTTAAGGATCAGCATTTCTGAGGTGGAAGCTTGCTCTGAAATCTTCATAAGAACCATAGGACTGCAGTCTTAACACTCAGAACTGTTTGGAAAACGGACCTTTTGATGTATACAATTCTGAACTAAACCTGAATATCTTACTAACTCTTGATCTTTCTTTAGGTATGTGGAGTAATGTGTTTTCCTACAACCTCTTGGATGCATGGCATAAAATGGACAGTTCAGAAGATAGTTTCTGGTATAGCTATACCCATGACAAAATAAAGCAAATAGGTTAGTAAAATACAAATCACTTTAAATTTGATTATGGATGTTGATTGTTTAGTTTATATAATACCTCTCTGGAATATCGATTATAGTAATAAAATCCTGGGTGTAAATTTCTATTAAGTGAATCCAAAGCAGCTATATTTATTGCAAAAAGTTAATTCTAAAATGTAATGAAAAAGACCAATTAACCCACTGCAACAAATTACATATCAGAACTTTACTGGTCTTTGCTATGTTTTCTTTTATTGAACTTCAGATATTTAACAGTTTAGATTGATAACTAGAGTAGTCTTTCTCAAAATATGTTGTAGGATGTTGATAGATACAGGCATACTTCAGTATTGTTTAGAAAGGGGCTTAGCTGGGAGCCAGTGATTTTGCTGTGAATAATTTGAGAAGTGTAAGGGATATTAATTTATTCCACATATAGTCAGAGACTAGCCTACCTATTATATTAAGTCTATATTAATAAGCATATGAAAATAATATCTGTGTTGCATTTATTTATATGTCTGACTGTATGTATGTTTGTATGCATGGATATTTATATGTATATATGTGTATATATGCACAAATGTATATAGACACATATAGGCACACAATCTTTGTCTCTCTCTTCTTCCCTTCCTCTCCCCATCCCCCCATACAGGATATACCAAAAGTTGAGCTCTATAGACCAATCGCAATATGTTTTACTCTTTTTCCCCCACAGAAAATGCTACTGTATTAAGGAATGTTCAAAGGTCATATAACAGGAGTTTTTAGAAGAAAATGAAAACCAATTCAAAACATTTTTAATATACTATAATGCATATAATAAATGTTCAATGGGGCTTGGCTTTTGGTATACTCTGCAGTGATAATCAGTGAGAAAAATATTGTAATATACACCAGTCTATCTTTTCCTCTTAATGACTGCTGCACTAAATTAACCTATATATCTTCTGTTCAGAAGAAAAACCACCTCTGCCACCAGAAGCAGAAGCAGTGAATACTTACCTGGTCAAGCCTACATGTAACATTATGAAGATAGTTCGCAAAGTCATAACAGAGCGTGTATCAACATCAGAAGTCTACAATTTCTTAAATGGATTCCAATTAAACAATGGATATCTAGAGAATAAAAATTTTTATATATGGAAAGGTACATGATAAATGCTAAGAAAATTTGTATCAGTTTGTTAATTAAGATGATGACCTGATTTTTTAAAAAAATGCAAGTATTAATATTAAAATATAGTTAGTAAGATGTATAAAGTTGGACATATCTCTCCCTTGAAAATAGCAATTGTCAAATAAACTATGATGGCTGGATTCCCCAAACTAAACAAACTACATTAACAACTTTGCACAACAGCCACTAAAATATAGCACAAAATAGTCCAAAATAGCCAAGAGAGTCATGAGTTTACAATCTGGCTCAGCTATATTATTGGAATGTGATTTGGATAATTCTAATTCCACAATATTTTAAATGAACAATAAAAATATTGCAAAGGGTATTTGCAAGAAATGAAGAATAAGAGTTGGGGTACCACATACCACTCAGTAAGATTTTTAAGGAATTTTAACTGTAGTTCTAGTTTGAGACTAATTTAACAAAAATTCTTTTTCACATTTACAGTATACCACAGGGAATGTTTTTAAAAGTTGATAGTTATGTTGAAAGTATATTATGGGTGATATTGATTTGTCTGCTTTTGCCCATTTTTGTTTAAATTTCATATATTTATTAATATAGTATTACAAAGATCAATATGGTTTAAATCTGAATTCCTGTAATATATTCACTGGCAATCTCTCAATATTATGGAAATATTAGTCAATATCATTCCATGTAGTCAAGGTTTAATGATCAGTGCAAAAATTAGATTGAATGAAGCATGTGTTTTGTTGTTCTCTTTATTTTCTGTTTTTAGTTCTCCTCCCCTCCTTTTTAAAACCTTTTTCTTTCTCTTGTTTCATTTATTAAAGCAAATCTGTTGGCAGTTAATCAATTGCTTCCTTGTTTCATTCTGGTCAGATGCTCTTCAGTTGCTACTTCATTCTTGTTTCACACTGGCAATTTTCAGTGCAACAGTACTTTCAAAAGAACATTTAGTTATTAAGGTTTCTCTTGAATAAAATATAATTGGATAACAAGCTGCTTTAAATAACATTCCATACTCCACAAGTTACGGTTTATGAATGTGGAAATGTGATGTGCCATGTGTCCTAAAGAAAATTAGAAGCTGAATCAAACCAAAAAGCAAACTACTTTTTGAAGCTATGAACTGCTAAAGAAAATGTTTGCCTTTCAGATACTGTACTGGACACTTTTCCTAACCAGTTGATGACTTCACTGGAATATCTGAGCCTTATAGATACAGCTGCCTATATAGACACCAGCTATGCACCACTGATGAAACCAGAGAGAAAAGTGGATGTCATTATACATTTGAATTATTCTTCAGGCTCACAAACAACAGTAAGATGACTTACAATTAAGTGTTGTTTTTGTGTCATTAGTTTGTGTCTTACACTTACAGAATTCTACAGAAAAGAATTCTGAGAGGTTACATGCATGTCCATATACAGTATGTGCTTTTGCTTTGTCTGAGAATGCTAGCATTAAATGGGCTTAAAAGGATGGTGCCATTCCCTTTGGGGATAAACATACACAATTGCATTTTCACTCATATTAAACACTGTTATTGTAGTACTGGCAACAAGAAAACCCTCTTTAAAAGTCTTAGAGATTATCTATGGAGGTCACAAAACTGGGTAGAAAAGGATTTGCTCTTACCTCCATATCAGTGTCTTCTCTCCCTAATTTGTCTGGCTGAAGTTTTTGATAAAGTGATTAACTGAGTTGTGGTGGCACAGTGGTTAGAATGCTGTACTGCAGGTTAACTCACTGCTTACTCCAGGAGTTGTGCTCACTCACAACCTTGAATACTGAATGGCTCAAGGTTGACTCAGCCTTCTATCCTTCCAAGGTCAGTAAAATGAAGACCCAGATTGTTGGGGGCAATATGCAACTCTGTAAACTGCTTAGAGAGGGCTATAAAGCGTTATGAAGTGGTATATAAGTCTAAGTGCTATTGCTAACAGTCCAGAGGTGAAATTAGCAGGGACATTCGCTATTGAAGTCAATAGTTTAGGTGCTAATCCTAGTGTGTAATGCAAGTTCCAAATAGGCAGGTCTTTATTGATGGTCATCTTTAAGTGAAAGAAACACGAGGCGTTGTAAAATCCAGTGAAAATACCAATGTCTCTTAAGAAGCTGTTATGTTTGAAACACACAAAGCTAAGTTATGGAGCACACAAAGTTGGGAAATTATAGGAAGTTGTTCCAGTGGCACCCTATACTTAATTATATCTTAAATGCAAGAAATCCTGAGACTCCATCTACGCACATCCATTACTGATCAGTTCTGATTACAAGATTCAGGTTATTCAAGAACAATAATCTACCTCTGGGTAAATATCCAGCCTAAATATCCCAAGCAAAGAAACATTCTTCTATTTTTGCCTAAGGGGCCAATGAAGTTCTCCTGTGTGTGACTTAGGTGCTGTATGAAAAGCAATTTGAACATTGTAAGGACCAAATTCAGAATCCAGTCTAAATCAAGACACGTATTATTTTCACAGAAGACCCTCACAGGCTTTCATGTAGGAATAATATAGATAAGATGCAGACATAGACATGGTTCTGTTGATTACAATAACAGAATTAGCGCTACAGTAAAGTAGAATTAGTTCATCTGGTCTTATTTCTTGTCTGATATACCTTGTACATCAATCTTGCAAGTCTGAAAATACTTTTTTTTTCTCCTTCCCCTTTCCAGCCCCAAAACTAGGAGGATCTCTCTTCTAAGCTACTTGCTCTGCCCACATTCCAGCTGTAGGCTAAGCTGCCTTTTATGCAACTTTTCCCTTAGTTGTGTCTTGTTACCATATCTTTCAAGGCCATTCCCATATACCATTATACAGGCTCAGTGGAACCGTGTTCATTTACCCAGTCACGTTGTTCGTGCACAGATAAGTTGAATTGTATGCCAAGGGAGATTATCCTTAACTAATAGATCCCTATTAAGTCTTCTGGCAAGTGTAAGAAATCAGGAACCAGGGTTGCTCAATTGGGTACGAGATTATTCCATGCTATCTCTAACCAAGAATCCGTACTACTAACTGTCAAGGCAAATTTGGCAGTAGATAAGACTCAATGGAATTTAAGGACTTAGATCTCTTGTGGGCACAAAGGGACTCCACACTGATGATGCACTTGATCCCTCTCTTGGGCTCAATCTAGTCACCTCCTACACGTTCCCTTGATTTTCTAGGTAGAAATGAATTGGAGTAAAAGCAAAGGTGGTATTCAGCAGGTTCTGACTAGTTCTGGAGAACCAGTAGCAGAAATTTTGAGTAGTTCGGAGAATGGGCAAATACCACCTCTGACTGGAGATTTTACATTATCCTTCCCCTGCCATGCCCACCAAGCCATGCTCACAGAGTAAAAAAAAATTGAATCCCACCACTGAGTAAAAGGTCAAGAAATAAGCCTGCATCAATCAAGAAAGAAATCTGACTATCATTATTGCAACTTCTGCTTCTTATTGTTATTATTTGCTTTGTCCTGTGATAATCTAGCCTTTAGAGAAAGCCTCCAGATACTTTGCAAAGCAAGGGATTCCTTTTCCCAAAATAGATCTGAGTAGGGAAAAGAATCTGAAGGAGTGCTATGTTTTTGAAGATGCTACAGATTCCGAAGCACCTATTGTGGTTTTTTTCCCACTAATAAATGATACCTTCAAGAAATACAAAGCACCAGGTAAGTTCCTTGGTTCCTTAACAGACCTAACAATTTTCCCATCATTTGGTGAACTAAACCCTCTACTACACTTGTGCTATTATAAACATTTGGAAGTTTACACAAGCCTATCATCATTACTCATAATCCTTTGCTAAGTTACCCTTCATTTTCTTTATTTATAACTCTTTATTTTAAAAAATATCTTGTTAGTTGTCCCAAAGGTGATTTTCAAATGGCAATTGGATTTTGTTTTTTCCCTGAAGATGTTTTGCTTCTCATCCAAGAAGCTACTTGTCAGTTGTACAATATTGGAGTAGTCAAGAAGATATTAAACTGTTTCAATTACATTAAGTCAGTGGCGTATAGTCTGGAGTCCCAGGGACATATATGGGCTTACAATTCTGGGTTTAGTCCAAAGGACCCTTGGGAAATTTGTCCCCAAACTGTACTGCTTAATATGACAGTGGAGGGAAATTGTTAAATTAAATTAAAGTAAGGATTTGCCCCATATCTCTCTCCTGGCTTTTTCTACTTCTTGAATGCAATCCCTAGCGCAACATTCAAAAGCTGCTTCCCCCATTCCCCTTGCAAAATTAATTTTCTTATGTTAAATAGATCTGATATTATGGGCATTATAATGCCTTTGAAGTGCTTGTCTTTCCTTCCTCTCCAACATTCATTATGACTTGTTTTAGAGTCTTCAGCCTTTGCATCATTAAAGTGCTACTCCATCCCATGACAAACAGGAAGTTAGGAAGAATGGAAGTTCCTGTTTGTTTGTGGGATGAAATAGCACCCTAATGATGCAAAAGCTGAACTTAGGAAAATAGATGCTTTGCAGCTTGACAGCTGAATGTCAGCAGGCTTCCTTCTCAGCAGAGGCCTCAGCACTCCTGCCATTCTACTATAATGGATGGATAGTGGAGCCAAAGTTATTATATTGCAGTGGGTGAAATGTGTGGCCCTTGAGATATTTGCAAACTCAATTCAGCTACATCTTCTATTTGGAATTGATGAGTGTGTGTATTTTGTGATTTTCTTTTTTCCTACTCTTTCTTTTTTCCTAAGTATGACTAATGTTGAAAGATGGTGGAAGCTGTAATTCAGAAAGCCACAGGTTCCCCAACCCTAATATAATCCAGCAGAAGAAGGTTTAGATCAGATCAACTCTTGTGATAAACAACATGATATTGATTTGTGTCTGTAATAGGGATAGCAGCACTAATAAAATGATGCTGACTTTGTTGTGTAGATGTTGAGCAAATAATATATGTAATGGTAAATGTTGTTTTTCAGGTGTAAAGCGTGGTCCCACTGAAATGAAGCAAGGTGAAGTTGATGTAACTAGTCCTTGTTCACCATATGAAATACAAAACTTTCAATACACCAAGGAGAATTTTGATAAGTTAATAGAGCTAACCAGTTACAACATTCAGAATAACAAAAACTCAATCCTTCAAGCTTTACAAAGAGCAATAGAGAGAGAAAAGCCTCGGACCAAATAGACATCTTCTCAAATCCGACTGGAAGACTGCTGAAACCAGCTGTTGCAATTTTTGTGGATTAACTTATCATTAATGGCTATATCAGTTTCCTATATGTTTAGAACATAATATATTTTAGCTATGACATATTAATACCATGTACAATAGCAGAATTGGAAGGGACCTTGGAGGTCTTCTAGTCCAACCCTCTGCTTAGCCAGGAAACCCTACCCCACTTCAGACAAATGGTTATCCAAACTCTTCTTAAAAACTTCCAGTGTTGGAACATTTACAACTTCTGGAGGCAAGTTGTTCCACTGATTAATTGCTCTAACTGTCAGGAAATTTCTCCTTAGTTCTAAGTTGCTTCTCTCCTTGATTAGTTTCCACCCATTGCTTCTTGTTATACCCTCAGGTGCTTTGGAGAATAGCTTGACTCCCTCTTCTTTGTGGCAGCCCCTGAGATATTGGAACACTGCTATCATGTGTCCCCTAGTTCTTCTTTTCATTAACCTAGACATACCCTGTTCCTACAACCATTCTTTATGATTTTGTCTCCAGTCACCTAATCATCTTTGTTGCTCTTCTCTGCATTCTTTCTAGAGCATCAACATATTTTTTACATCATGGCAACCAAAACTGGATGCAGTATTCCAAGTGTGGCCTTACCAAGGCATTATAAAGTGGTATTAACACTTCACATGATCTTGATTTTATCCCTCTGTTTATGCAGCCTAGAACTATGTTGGCTTTTTTGGCAGCTGCAGCACACTGCTGGCTCATATTTAAATGGCTGTTCACTAGAACTCCAAGATCCCTCTCATAGTCACCACTATTGGTGACCACATATACTGTACCTGTGCATTTTGTTTTTCTTGCCTAAATGTAGAACCATACTTTGGTCACCATTGAATTTCATATTGTTAGATAGCACCCAATGTTCAAGCTTGTCAAAATCCTTCTCTATCTGGATTAGTAGATCTTGGAGCATTTGATCTGTATAGTAACATCTGAATTTTAGAAAGTTTTCCCAGAAATATTCATTGAATAGTCATTTCTTTAAGACATCAAACAAAATGTGCCTTAAGTGATATGATTCACAATTGTAATCTTTGCTTCCATCATGTGTATGTCAGACCCTTATTATTCTTGATATTATTATTTAGATTGTTGGCTACAGGTTATTGTATCTTTAATTTATTATGTAATGCATATAATAAGCATATTATGTATTTTTAATAGGTAATATTCTCTGATGAGTTTACAAATAACTTTTTAAAATCAATTAAAGATAAAAACAATATGATAGCATAACTCTTTTTCCTTTGTTCTCAATAAATAAACTAAGCAGAAAATATGTTGCGACTGGAAGCTATATTTTAAGAGTGAACTACGCCCTTGTTCCTCCAAAGAGGTTGGCAACATCGAAGCAAACATGAGCGAAAGAGGTTGGGGGATTAATATATCCAGGGGTGAGATTCTACCAGTTTGCACCTATTCGCTAGAACCGGTTGTTAACATTCTAAGCAGTTCGGAGAACCGGTTGTTAGAAGAAATTACTGGCCTAATCCTGTAAGGAAGGCAGGAAGGAAACATTCTGATGTTGCTTACAGAAACTGCCTCTCCTTTAACCCTTATTACATTCTTGGCAGGACTAGACTTCCTGTCTCAGGAACGTCTTTGGAGTTTTTTTCCCTCCTTTGCTGGTACTTTGCTTGTGTGGAGTGACCATTTAAAGTTACAATGGCACTGAAAAAAGTGACTTATGACCATTTTTCACACTTACGACTGTTGCAGCATCCCCACAGTCATGAGAGGTCAGGCAAGGAGATGCGTGCCTCGATGTGAGTGATATTGAGTTGGCCACACCCAGCCAATAACATGACCACCAAGCCATGTCCACCCAGTCACATGACCACCAAGCCACGCCCACCACCTAAGCCACACCCACAGAACCGGTTGTTAAAAATTTTTGAATCCCACCCCTGAATATACCTACTTTATATCAGTGTAAAAATAAACTTGAAAACTTGCATGGCAAGAAGAGCAAGAACTGCCAGTTCTTGACAAAGAAGAAAAGCAACCTCATTTAATCTGAAATATTGGGATGGATAATTAAGATATTATGAAAGAAGAAAAGATTCAGGGTGGGAAAGCATCATTCTGGAAATGTCAATTGAATTTAAATTGTGAGAATTAGATAAAAGATACAAGGGAAAATCCTGTAGTGGGGTGGCATAGATTTAGGGCTTATTTGGACTTTTTGATTTCTTTTCTGAAAAATAGTTTTTGTTAACATTGTCCTTCAATGATATTAGATTACCTCTAAAGTCAGTTTGATTAAGTGTGCTAGACCATCAACACATATCCAAGGAAAACAACATTTTCAATATTTGTTTGGGGGTGGGGTGGGGAAAGGCAATATAGGGAGAAGCCATATCAGGCGAGATAACTAAACTGTTACGTTTTCAAGGGGAAAAGTCACCATTTGGTTTCTGTTCTTTTTTCTTACTTTCAAAACACCACCCCCTGCTTTCTGGACTGAAAATAGGGTGGATAATTTTGAGATGTTATGTTTGTACAGCTCAGGTAATTTCACAGGAATTTGCCTTAATAAGCAGGATATAATTGAAATACACCATGCGCTGTTACTTTTGTGTATTTATTAATTTCTACTACGGTCTATAAAGGTTGAGGGAGCTCCAATTACTCTGACTAAACACAGGTCATTTTAAAAAAAAGTTTTAGTTTGTAAAATACTTCTGGTTAAAATGGGAAACACTGTAAGTGGTAATTAATTTACGTGTTTTGAATCTTGTCTAGTATCTCAAACCTCTCCCTTTAATAAATTGTTTTCACGTGGGTGCAGTCATTTCAATCTTTCACAATTTAGTCCAGTGTTGCAATACAAAGTTGGAGAATTATATGTGACACCAAAGATGACAGGAAGGAAACACAAATCATTGTTTGTGAGTACAAATATGGTAATCCTGTTAAAAAAACAGTCTTATCAAATCCAATACATTGTTTTGCAGAACAGTCAGTCAAGGCTTTTAGGAAACATATCAGAGGTGGTATTCAGCAGGTTCTGACCAGTTCTGGAGAACCGGTAGCGGAAATTTTGAGTAGTTCGGAGAACCAGCAAATACTACCTCTGACTGGAGAGTTTATAGCAGTGGTCGCCAACCAGTGGGGTGGGGACCACTGGTGGTCTGTGAGAAAATTTTGGTGGTCCGCAGAGAAATGTCACCCCCTAAAGCACCCCCAAAGCAATTAATCCAGGCTGTGCAGGAACACAAGGCTGTGCTGCCCACATGGCCAGTGGGAACACAAGGCTTGCGTCGCTTGCATTGCAAACAACACAAGGTAATGAGGGGAGGGGGGAAAGGGTGGAGGGGGGAACTTGCCCCACTCACCCCTCACACCTGGCCTGGCCACCGGGCTGCTTCTTTCCACTTCTTTATTTTTCTGCTTTTGGCTGCACGCAAGGAAAGCAGCAAAAGTCTTTCTTTCCCTCCCCCAAACTCCACCAGAAATGAGTCTTTGAGACCCTGCAAGGCATCCTGCTCCAAGAAGCTGCGCCAGTGTGACAAGTCTCACAAAGACTAATTTCTGGCGGTGTTTGGAGGAGAGAAAGAAAGACTTCTGCTGTTACTGCTGCTTTCCTTGCATGAAGCCAAAAGTCTCAGTCTCAGTCTCTCTCTCTCTCTCTCCTGCAAACGGAACTGGAGACAGTATCCTGCAATCCCAAATAAAGAACGATTGATCGGTATGAAAATATGGTGGGAAATTTTCCTGCAGACTTTTTGGGGGATTTTCCCAGGATCCACGGGATTTAAAATTATGAGTTTGGTAGTCCCTGAGGTCCAAAAGGTTGGCAACCCCTGGTTTACAGTATCCTTCCCCGGCCACACCCACCAAGCCATGCCCACAGAACTGGTAGTAAAATAAATTGAATCCCACCACTGAAACATACGTATAGGGCTGGAGGAAAATTGTCCACAGTATCTGTTATCCATAGGCATATTACTTCTGCCAATGAAGAAGAATATTTGTGGCTCAGAGTTGAAATGAAGGGTCCTTGGTGCTCTCTGGGCTTGTTTGTTTTCTTGCAGACATTTCATTACCCAAACCATGTAACATCATCAGTGCTAGTCCTAGTCCAGGACTGATGATGTTACCTAGTTTGGGTAATGAAACATCTGCAAGGAAACAAACAAGCTCAGAGAGCACCAAGGTCCTCTCATATTCCTTCTAACTTGGGTGATAGAACATAGTCATTACTACTACTGTAGTTCCTGACATGTTTTTTCCCCCCCATATTCCCTTTGAGGCCATCAATACAACCCACTGGGAAGCTATAAAACAGGCAATATTTTAGGCACATGCCTCAGTCCAAGGTCCCCCAAATTGCAGATATGAATGACATTGTCAAAAGTAGAAAAAGGCAGAGATTGGTTTGCAATGCTTGCAATACCATCTTGCCTATTTTGACCCTCCCTTGAAGACACTACCATAATGTTATTACTATTTTTTTTTTCTTTTTTTGTTAAGGAATTCACATGTTGCCAACACCGAGAAACAATTTACGCCATGGCTTTTCCATGGAGGCTATGAAGAAGCATTTAAAAATTACTCATATCATCAAACCTGTTTTTCATCCGGGCAGTGACAAAGTTTTAGTCACGAAAACAGGTTATTGGTTTTACCCTTTGTTCTGCAAAGCCCTGCATTTCTCTTTTTTCACAGTTCATCTCATGTCTTTCTGCTTTTGCGTGTGACCAAATGGAAGATAAGCTAGGTAGATCAGCAGGTTTGTTTAGAGATGACTTATCTTTCTATCATGTATCTTCCGTGCAGTTGATTTCATTATCCCAGATCAGCTGTTAAATGACTTCAACAGTTAATATCATTTAATAGTTTATTATTTTGCAGCTGGCATACTACAGATAATCTTCAATGGAGAATGCCCATTACCAGACTCCACCTCCTGGTCTCCCTGATCCAGTCATTAAGTAACC